TAGACGAAGTGATCATTGGAATAAAATACAGACCCCAGAAATAGACTACACAGTGATAATGAAATCTTTGACAACGGGGGGAATGCAATTTGATGGAGAATGGAATTGTCTTTTCAACAAATGATGCTGGAACAACTGCACATACACCTGGAAAATTACTCTAGACACTGACCCTACACTTTTCACAAAAAAATTAACTTAAAATGGATCATAAATATAACTGCAAAATGGAAAACTATAAAACTTCTAGGAGGATAGATTTAAGAGGGTAGATCTCATGTTAAGTGCTCTTCCACAATAAAAATAATAAATAAACAAATAAATAGGAATAATACCAATCTTAAATTCCTTCAGAAAGCAGGGAGTAAGGGAGAACTTTCCAACTCATTTTATGAGTCCAGAATTACCCTGATGCCAACACTAGAAGAAAATATTACAAGAAAAGAAAAAACCGCAGACCATAATCCCCTTGTGAAAATAAGTCCCATAATCCTGAACAAAATATGGGCAAATTAAATCTAGCAACATATATTGAATAACTTAAGTGGGGCTAATCTCAGAAACGCATGGTTGGGTTAGCATTCAAAAACCAATCAATGGGGGCCAGCCAGATGGTGTAGCAGTTAAGTTTGCCCACACCACTTTGGCAGCCTAGGGTTCATAGATTTGGACCCTGTGCGCTGACCAACGGACGACTTGTCAAGCCATGCTGTGGTGGTGTCCCATATAAAGTAGAGGAAGATGGGCAGAGATGTTAGCCCAGGGCCAAACTTCCTCAGCAAAAAGAGAAGGATTGGCAACAGATGTTAGCTCAGGGCTAATCTTCCTCACACACAAAAAATTAATAATAATAATCAATGAAATGCATCATATTAATAGGAAAAATAAGAAGAAAACTCATATGACCAGCTCAATAGACACAGAAATAAGACATCTGACAAAATTCAACACTAATTCTTGATTGAAAACTCTCTCTAACTAAACATTATACTCAATGGGGAGAAATTGAAAGAGTTTCCTCTAAGATCAGGAACAAGACAAGGATGCCCACTCTCACCACCCCTATTCAATATAGTACTGAAAGTCCTAGCTCGAGCAATTAGGCAAGAACAAGAAATAAAAGGTATCCAAATTTGAAAGGAAGAAGTAAAACTGCCATTATTTGCTAATGATATGATCCTATATGTAAAAAATCCCAAAGAATCAGTCAAAAAACTGTTGGAATTAATCAACAATTTCAGTAAAGTGGCAGGATACAAAATTAACATACAGAAATCAATTGCATTCCTTTACACTAATGATAAAGCATTTGAAAAAGAAAGAAAGAAAACCATCACATTCACAATAGCATCAAAAACAAGAAAATACTTAGGAATAAATATAACCAAGGAAGTGAAATATTTGTAAATGAAATGATGTGAAATTCCATTTCACGAAAATGAAAACTACAAAACCCTGCTGAAAGAAATTGAAGAGAACACAAACAAATGGAGAGATATCTCATGTTCATGGATCAGAAGAATTAATATTGTTAAAATGACCATACCACCCAAAGCGATCTATAGACTCAATGCAATCCCAATCAAAATATCAAAGGCATTCTTCACAAAAATAGAAGAAACAATCCTAATATTTGTCCGGAACCACAAAAGGTCCTCAATAGCCAAAGCAATCCTAAGAAAAAAGAACAAAGCTGGAAGCATCACACCATCAACAACTGGTGCTAGGAAAACTGAAGAAACACATGTAGAACAATGAAATTGAATCCTTATCTCACACCGCTCACAAAACTTAATTCAAAATGGATCAAAGACTTAAACATAAGACCTGATACCATAAAACTCCTAGAAGAAAACATAGGGAAAAAGTTCTTGGCAATAATTTGGGAGACATGATATCAAAAGCACAAACAACAAAAGAAAAAATCAACAAATGGGACTACATCAAAATCAAAAGCTTCTGCACAGCAAAACAAACAATTAACAAAATGAAAAAACCTGCAGAATGGGAGAAAATTTCTGCAAACCATGTACTGGATAAGGGGTTAATATCTAAAATATATAAAGAACTCAGTCAACTCAATAAAACAAACAATCCAATTAAAAAATGGGCAGAAGAACTAAATAGACATTTCTCCAAAGAGGACATCAAAATGGACAATATACACATGAAAAGATGCTCAACATCATAATCATCAGTGAAATGCAAATCAAAACTACAATGAGATATCACTTCACATCTGTTAGAATGGTTATAAAGAAGATGAGACAACAGGTGCTGGCAAGGATGTCCTGAAGATGGAACACTTATATATTGTTGGCAGGAATGTAAAATGGTCCAACCACTATGGAAAACAATATGGAGTTTCCACAAAAAATTCAAAATAGACCTACCATATGATTCAGCAATTCCACTTCTGGGTATATACCCAAAGGAAACGAAAACAGGATTTCAATGAGATATATGTACTCCCATTTTTATTGCAGCATTATTCACAACAGCCAACCATATGGAAACAAGCCAAATGCCCATCAACTGATTAATGGATAAAAAAGACATGCTACATATACACAATGGAATATTATTCAGCCATGAGAAAGGAAGATATCCTTCCATTGTGACAATATGGATGGACCTCGAGCACATGCTATGCAAGATAAGTCAGACAGAGAAAGACAAGTACTGTATGATGTCACTTATATGTGGAATCTATAAAAGTTAAACCTGTAAAAAACAGAGAATACAACAGTGGTTACCAGGGGTGGGAGTGGGAGAATAAAAGTGATGGTATTTAAGGGTACAAACTTGTAATGAATAGCAAATAAGCCATAGAGATCTAGTGTACAGTATAATGAATACAGACAATAATATTGTACTATAATCGTGTAATGTGATAAATATTGCTACATTGGCAATCATATAACAATATATAAATGTATCAAAGTAACACACTGTACACCTTAAATTTACACAATGTTAAACATCAAATTAATTCAATAATTAAAAAAAAACCTCTCAGCTAACTAGAAATAGAAGGAAACTTAAGATGATAAGGGGCATCTGCTAAAAAAAAAAAGAAAAGAAAAGCTTATATCTAATATATTTAATGGTGAAAGTCAGAAAGCTTTCCTCCTAAAAACAAGAACCAAACAAAGAAGAACACTCTCAGCACTTCTAATCAACACTAAATCCAAGATGAACTCACAGAAGTCCATTGCATTTTTTATACTAGCAACGGACAATTGCTAAATAAAATTTTAAAGCAATACTATCAAAACAAGTAAACTATAGAAGAACTAAATAAATTAAAGAAGACCTAAATAAGTGGAGAGAGACACCACGTGCATAGATTGGCAGACTCAGTATTGGTAAGAAAGTAATTCCCCCAAAATTGGTGGGTGATTGTAATGGATACAACACAATTCCAATCAAAGTCCCTACATTCACATGCTGATTCTCCAATTTATATGAC